TGTTTCTCAACCCTGGTCCTGGGCGCCCCCCAGCACTGCACATGTTGTGTGTCTCCCTAATCAAACACGCCTGATTCAACTCATTAACGCATTAAAAGAAACTCCAGGACCTGAAATGGGCGTCAGATAAGGGAGACATACAAAATGTGCAGTGTTGCGGGGCGCTCAGGACCAGGGTTGAGAAACACTGTTTTAGGTGAACGTTCCCTCACCACCGCTTCGGTAAAACTCACAGCGCAAACCGTTCACTTCTAACAATTTTACTTTTCAATTCCAGCCTCTCTGATGCATAAAATTAATTCTCCATGGTTTTGCACATATTTTATATTTGATAAAGTGCTCTGGGCTCTGTCATGAATATGTGAAAGTGTGTGTTCAAGCAGTCAGTGGGAAAGCCTGAAATCACGCATTACTTACACTCTATTATCTTACCTTACCTTTAAGCTCACAGCTTGAACTCACTTTGGCTGCCTGTAAACGCAACGGGAGGCTGATTATACTCAAATACATTATTTCTAGTTTATACCGCCATCTACTGGATACATACAGCAATCATATACTGTATTACTGTAAATTCAATATATGTTTTGCTTTGGATCCATACAGCCTACACAGTCCATATATGCATTCTTAATGCATAAACATTCTTAACATTCTTTGATTTTTGGCTTTGTGTTATGTAAATCAGCTGTTATGTAACCCAGATGTGGGCCGGATCTGGGCCGAAACTGTCTGCTGTCTGGGAAATCAGCCCAAAATATTTTCAAATGCTCATCGGAACCGCATACTAGCATACTACTTCATTACTTCATTTCTGCCATAGAATACCGCATACTAGCATACTACTTCATTACTTCATTTCTGCCATAGAATACCGCATACTAGCATACTACTTCATTACTTCATTTCTGCCATAGAATACCGCATACTAGCATACTACTTCATTACTTCATTTCTGCCATAGAATACCGCATACTAGCATACTACTTATATATAATAAAAAAAATATATAGGGATAGTAGCTAATAGTATATAATAGATTTTTAACACTTGCCAAACGAAAGAATTAAAATATGAGAATAATTATTTAGACCCTTTCTACTTGAAACAACTTTCAGGCGCCTGCCACGCCCACAAAGTCTCAGCGTGAGTCTGTGAGACAAAGGACAAAATAACGAATTCACACTGGATTACGATCTAAATTCACATATGTGTGCTGAATCCATCATGTCACCTGTAAGTACATGCTTTATTTCATTAATTTCCTTAATTAACTGCAAGGTCTGTCTGATGAGATTAAGCACGTACAAGAGAACGCCGTAGGTGTGCATGGCATGTGCTGCAATCTGTCTGCAGTTTTTATAAATGAAAAGTCTTGTTTAATTGTTTTGAAAGAGCGTCTGTTATTGGGATTTACATGCAAAGTACGTGTTATTTGCGTGTTGATAATATTTTGAATATTTTGAAATCGCAGCCTGTAATTCGTGAGTCTGCCGCTGGGTGGCGCGTTTGTTCAGCTCTCTGTGAGATTGACCGTGATGTTCGTTTTTAAACACTAGAAGGCGAAAAAGTACTAATATTTTCAGTGACAGGCCACTTAAACCTGACATCTGCTTGACAAGATACTTGATAAGTGTCTTTTGACGTAACTGTTTACCTGTAAGCCTATGGACCCTTTTCACAAGACTGTGATGAAGCGTTTCAACGGTCATCAGCATCGTAAATCCTCCAAAGTTTTCTGTATTTTTATTTTTATTTTTTTAATGTAGACTATGTACATTTATAACACTATACTTTGTATTATATTACATTTGCGTCAAATTACAAAAAACTAGTTAACTAAATGCGAGGGTGAGATATGGGCACAAATACATCAAAAAGTACTATAACAAATTACAAATACTTGCTCATCAAATGTATTTAATTTAAAATACAAAATACTGGTGTGAGAAAGGTATTTAATTAAAATACAAGTAATTTGTAATTTGAAAATACAAACAATATTTACAAGCAGTCATTTGAAGTGCGAGACAGTGCCATGACATTTAGTAATGCTGGAGTTAGATACACACATAAGAGAAAGAGAAGTGCTTTCCGCTCCTTGAAAAACTTATAAACAACATATTCTTTAACTCTAACACTAGACAATAGCCTATATCCAATATATTGATCCATAGGCCTATTTCTTCTAATTTCTTATGTTCACTTAAGACATAACCGACTGTTTACTTGAATCAAGCATGTCTGCACTTTATTTTTTAATGTTTCTGTATCACTCCTTTATCATTTCTTTATCAGCGTGTCAAAAATTAAGCAGTCCTGAGAAACAGACAGTTGAAAGCTATTTCACTGTCAACAGTAGAGATTAACTCCTAAAAATGCTGATATTTAGCTGTTAAAGGGCTCTATGTAGAATTCAGAAACCCTTGTTATTAGCACTCCATAGTAATGCAAGCGAGCGACGGCCAATGTGATTCACCAACATCATATCAACAAATTATTTTTGATAGTTATGATAGTTTCCCTTGGATTTTCCCAGCGAAACCTGGGAAAGTCCTGGGAGTCCTTCACATAAAAATCAGTCTACAGGCTCTCATTTTTAAAGTTTCATTACATGCTGTTCACAAATTGGCAATAAAAAGTGATTCATGCTTGAACATCCTTTCATAAATCCCCTTTAAAATTTTCATTTTGTCCATAAAATCAAGTAGCTTACTTTAGTTAGCAAGCTAACACTTCTCAGCTAGTAAGCAAAGTTGTAGAGCAACACAGCTTTTTCCTCTGTCCTGTAATAACATTCAGTGAGCAATATCTGATAGTATATATTTTACTTAGCCAGTTTGCACTGAGCACCAAAGCAGCTTCTTTATTTCTCTCTCCAGTTGGAAGATGGAACCATGGCCGAATTAAAGGTATAGTTCACCCAAAAATGGAAATTCTGTCATTAAAGGGGTCATATGATGCGATTTCAAGATTTCCTTTCTCTTTGGAGTGTTACAAGCTGTTCGTGAATAGATAGGATCCCTAAAGTTGCAAAGACTAAAGTCTCAAACCCAAAGAGATATTCTGTATTAAAGTTAAGACTCGTCCACGCCCTCCTAAAACACTCGTCCTAACACGCCCCCACACGTCTACGTCACTGTACGGGAAGATTTGCGTAACACCGCCCAAATGTTCACGCAAAGAAAGAAGGCGTAACTTTTATTCTCGCTGTAGTATTGTTGTTGCTGCCGCCATGTCGTGGAGACGCTGTGTTTCGTTGTGAAAGCGAAACTACTTTGTTTGGCCTTCCAAAAGAGGACACGACTAGAAATCAGTGGTTAAGTTGTATTTACAACACTGTTCCAGAACACTTCAACCCAAATATTCAGATGTGAGCAATGCATTTTATGGAGGACGAGGACTGTTTCGTGGGAGAGTAGCCTACAATGTTCCGGTGAATTCAGTTCCCCATACGTTTTCATATTTAAAGAATTTGCCACTGACGATTCAAACGCGAGTTTTGAGCAGTGTAGAATAGCGCTTGTTGTTTGTCATTTCTCTGATCACAAATTGGATGCAACAAATGCCTCGTTTATAATGGGTTTTAATGTTTTTGTCTCATCGCTCCGGCCAGACAGGGCATCACAGTATGGTAGAGGCGTAACATTTCCGTCACACGCTTGAGGTATTCAGCTAATCACAACGCACTGGATAGCTGGCCAATCACAGCACACCTCGCTTTTCAGACCGGTGAGCTTTGTAAAAATCAACGCGTTTCAGAAAGGTGGGGCATAGAGGAGAAACGATAATATACAGTATGCGGAAAATAATGTGTTTTTTGAACTTTAAACCACATAAACACATTTCATTACACCAAATAATGTTATTTTTTAGCAACGTCATATGACCCCTTTAATTACTCACCCTCATGTCGTTTCACACCCAAAAGACTTTTGTTCCTCTTCAAAACACAAATGAAGATATTTCTGATGAAATTCGAGAGCTTTCTGTTCCTCCATAGGCAGCAACGCAACTTACACATTCAAAGCCCAGAACGGTTGGAAAGACATTGCTAAAGTACTCCATGTGACTGCAGTGCTTTGACCTCAATTTTTTTAAGCGATGCGAGTGCTTTGTTTGCACACAAAAAAAACCCACATTTACAACTTTATTTATGAAAATATTGATCTGCATTGTGCGTTCATGAGAGCATCACAACGCATTTGTGTTGTGTTTACTCGATAGAAGACTCACACGTCAACACAACGCACATGAGTTCGTGTTCACGAGAGTACCACGATGCATGTGTTTGGATAATATTTTCGTAAATAAAGTGGTAAATGATGTTTTTTTTTGTGCAAACAAAGCTCTCACGTCGCTTTATAAAATTGGATTACTTGATGTACTTAGTGACATGGATAACTTTTTGCATGGCTGACTGTAGAGGATCAGAAAGCTCTCGGGTTTTCATCAAAAATATCTTCATTTATGTTCCGAAGATGAACAAAGGTCTTACAGGAGTGGAACGACACCAGGGGCCAGTTGCATAAACATAGCTGCTATGTTAAGACAGTGTCTTAAGAACTAGTTTGACCAACTAGTAGCTTTCCAAGAGGTAATCAGACCTACTTTTTGGATTCAAATTGCACCATTCTCCCTTTTTATAACGGACTTAAAAAGTTCTAACCAGTCTTAAAGAAAAAAAAAATGAGATGACTAACTTTTTAAGACTAGTCTAAGTAGTTTATGCAACCGGCCCTAGGGTGAGTAACAGAACAGAATTTTCATTTTTGGGTGAATTAACCCTTTAAGACTCCGCCTATGGATCCAACGGGATGTCATATTCACTTGCATCTAGCCAAAACCTGTGATAGGCTATAGTTGGCAGCACTATTAACACAGGTGAAGAAAGATATTGTATTATCTGAGAATAAAATGACCTACTTAATTAAGTATTTTAAGTATGTCAAATACAAAATACTGTATCTCAAAGTGTTTAATTACAAATTACATTAAAT